CTTACCGTGAACCTTCTGTCCTCTTGAGAAAGGAAGCCTGGGGGATCCGAGGGGCTGTTGTATAGCAGCCTTCTCCCGAGACTTAAATGTTTGGCAACTTCAGGCTTGGCACAAGGATTGCCATGAGGAATTGGAAAAAAAAAAACCAACTGAATACCCAGAAAGCATGAGCCAGCACCTTAAATGGACTTAGTGGTGAGCCAGACAGGAGATAGGAGCAAGGGTGGGGACTCTAGGGCTGAGCCAGTCTCTCGTCCTCTAGCCTCCCCTGACTGTGTTACTTAGGCAAGTCATTACTCTGAACCTCAGTGTTCTCATCCATAAAAGAGGGATGAAAATGGGTTATCATGGGGTTGTTATTAGAATAAAATGAAATAGTTTATGTGAAAGCATCAAGTATAGTGTAAGAAATGTTTCCTCTCTCCTTCCTGTCATATCTTGGACCTTGGCCTGGAAAATACCAGCGGAACAGTAGAGAGCAGCTAGACACTTGGGCTTGGGCTCTCGTAGTGGGATGGGGAGAGAGAGTGGGGTGTGGAGCTGCAGGAAACCGGAGAGTTTGATCTAGCAAGTAGACCACAGTCCCAGATGTATGCAAAACAGACCATTGAGATAGACCAGGCAAGCCACCTTCTCAGGATATCCAAGAATCTTCAAGAATTGAGTCACTTTAACAAGAGATGGTGTTACACATTTCTGGCACAGATCAGTGTTCTTTGGGGGAAGGGCCCATACACCATTCATCTGTGGAGTTCTACTGTCTGATTGAGTGCTTGATAGAGGACCAATGAATATCTGTAAATTGAAGACAAAGGTATAACATGACACCATCCCTCCCTTGTTCTTTCCTAGCTCCCTTCAGTCCTCCAGATCATGAGTGATGTGAACAAGTTGATGTTTACTGAGGGTCATACAGACCTTTTGATCCATGCCCTTGTCCACACACCTGGATGTGCTTAAGTTGTTTCAGACAGACCTCTGTGTCCCATGCTATCCTTCACAGTACCCTGGATCCACAGCAGCTTCTGCCCATGTGGCAACTTGGAGCTTTCTTCTCTCAGATAAACTTATAAGTGGTGCAAAGACCCTTTATTAAGTAGGGTTTCTTGTTGGAGGGGCATCAAGCCCTGTTTAATGTAGCAGGAGAAAGTTGTCGTTTGAAGCTCCAACTGTTTTCTAAGGAGGGTGGGTTCCATCTTGAGTTGGCTTTGTTTTTGCTGAGACCTTGTGGATTTGGATTTGCAAACTGGAAGAACTGCAGTGTTTCACATTCTGAAGGGAGAGGGACGTGGGACTTCTGAGGCAATCCAAGAGGAGAAGAGAATCAACAAGATGATGTGTTACTCAGTGAGACTCTCCTGTGATCTCAAAATCCCTAGTTCTTACTAGACTCACCAACTTGTATGGGAATCAGTCAGAAATGAGTTTTGCAGGGGAAAGGTATATCTCAGTGGTAGAGCACATACTTAGCATGCACAAGGTCCTGGGTTCAATCCCTAGTACCTCCAATAAAGTAAATAAATAAACCTAATTACCCCCTGAAATAAAAATAAAATAAATGACAAAACTTTTAATAGACTTTATTTTTTAGAGCAGTTTCAGGTTTACAGCAGAACTGAGCAGAAAATACAGAGTTCTCACATAGCCTTCCCCACCCACACATATACACTCCCCTACCCTCAACACCCCTCATCAGTGTGGCATATTTGGTTCAACTGATGAACAAACATGGACACATTATTATCAACCAAAGTCCATAGTTGACATTAGGGTTCAGACTTGTATATTCTATGGGTTTTGACAAATACATAACGACATGTAGCCACCACTATAGTATCCTGCAGAATAATTTCATTGCCCTAAAAATCCTTTGTGCTCCAACTATTCAACATTTTTAAGTGAGTTTTGCATCCAGGGAAGTGAGGGGGGAAATAGTCTATGCAAGTAGGAAGTAGTCATAATGGGAACCATGAAAAGAAAGACCATGAGAATCCCCGCATATCATGAATAGGGCCTTGGACTTGACCAAGATTACAAAACTAAGAGTTCGAGCCAAATTAACCTGGACCACTGAAGGGCAAGGCAGGGACATCTCAGGTGATACCTGCATCCTCTGAACCTGGCATTATTCTCGACACCACAAGGAATGCGTAATCAGCATGTGTGCTGGTCCTCATCCTTAAGGAGCTTAACAGTCTCTCTGCACATAAAAAGATACAAAGCGATTAGACAACATACTTTCAAGCTGTGTTTTAGTTTCAGTGGAGATGATCAGAGAAAAGTCTTGAGCAGGGTTTCTTGAGGGAACAACCTGAGTTGAATCTTAAAAGGGAGATGACAGGATTGGATTTGGCAGAATATGGGAACAGCTTTTCCAAGAGCTCTCTGTCAGAATCTAAAACACACCAGCCAGGAAGTGCCCAAGAAAGAAAGAAAGAAAGAAA